TCCGGAACGTAACCCATTTAGCTCCGATAACGAAAGCCACCGTCTCCAGCCGGCCTAAGGGGCTTCCTATACATCTATACCTATTTATATCCACTAGCTATAATCGCGAGGCTTATAGCCGCACTGTCCTTCTCTGTCCCTCGCATCGTAACAGCCCCTCAACCTCATCGTCATCCTTTGTCCCACAGTCCCACTCGCCATCTCACTTCTTTTGCGTGTACTATGCTTTGTAGATATCTGGCGTATAGCGTGCATATGTATATATACGTTATATATAAAACACATTGTAACACTGTATGCACGTTTCAGTCGGAAGCCATAATTTTTTTTTATGACGATGCTGAATAATGCCACCGAAGTCTTTTGTCGACTTCCTTTGTATACGTTGGTTTGGTACTCCGTCGCAGCCGGTTGATGGCGCCACTCAATTTAATCTCGTCTCGGCGGTCACGAATGAACACCTGTTATAACCTATGCGTTTGTTTTTGGTGTGCTTTTAGGCGAGGTTATCGGTCAGCGGTTTCTCGGCAACGAGAGTCACGTGGAGCACTTCAAACTGTTGGAGAGGGCGCCCACGTCTATATTCATTGGCGCGAGGTTTGTATTGAGTATTATTTAAGAGGGCGCTTACACAGGGGATAGTCAAGGTCGTAGTCGAAGGATTTTCAGAACTGTTTTCTGGAGGGTCGTGCATGGCTGGTGCAAAACGATATTTCTTTACGGTCGATGGACTCCCGCACCCCACCTTCGCTTCCCTCTCGGGGCAACGATATTCCCTAGCTACCTTGCTCCTCTCTCCCTCCCTCGTTTCCGCCTTCACCCTCCGCCCACGCTCTTTCCTCTTGTGTCGCACAGTGGGCCGATAAACTTTCTCGCTAACCCTCGTGTCTAACCTCTAAGGCTTATCTGGCTATCCGACGTTGCAAAATTGTTCGACCGTTCTGTGAAAGTTGTACCTCTGGGGTTCGTGTAGCGAAGATTAGTGACTTGAAATTTTATATACACCGTATATAAGATTGGTTTCTGAAAACACTTTCATATTTGAATTTAATACGTAGCTTTGCGTCATCAAGTTATTTACATGAACGACACTTTCACAGTGCGTCTCTCACTTTTGATGGGGCCTGTATATTATTCGAACCGCGTAACCTATCGAGCGACCTCTCTCCTCTTCTATCCTCTTCTGTGTATACATGTAGTGCTCATGTCTTTTTCGTTTCAGGAATGCCATTTACAACATAAGCCTCCATGATCTGACGGAAAATCACGCGGACAAGGTAAGTCAAAAGATTCGTTTCAATCACTTTTACAGGCTGTTTCATTTTCTTTTTTTTTTTGTTTTTTTTTTTTCCACCTGGAAATAGTCTATTTATTATGGCCGCGTGGCGTTAGTTCTAGGTATAGCTTAATGGTTACATTATGCAGTTATATACAGTGTTGCCTAATTTAATTCTTCTGTAAATTGAATATACAATACGCCGATATTGCTCTTTTCATGTAATGTCTTATTAACTCTGCTGAGCTCTCGATATATTTTAAATATCTGTTTTGTGTAAATTTATATAGTTTGGTAATTATTATTATTTCGAGATTCACAACAGATCCTCAATACCTAATGGTAGAAGAATTCGATTCTGTATTTATGATGCTGCATGTGAGCTAGGAATCAAATGTTTGAGAGAATTTTTTTTAATGGTCCGTGGTTACTTATTCCTTAAATAAGTAAAATTATTCGCACAATAATCACAAATTTATACATATCGGACACTGATATCAGACGACAGTTCTGAATTTTGCCTTCGTAAAAAGTTACGGTCTTATTAATTATCTCAATTCTAGCTGAACGTACCGATTATCTTGCATTGTTAAGTTGTCTATGTATGCTTCATAAATCGTGAGTCCCAATCAGTCTCCACCTCTTTCATCATTGACCCGCCCCATAGGGCCTATTGCTCCGCCTTCTTTTATTTGCTCCACCCACTGGGCCCATCGCTTGACACAAAAAAAAAATTAGAAGAAAGTACTTCGATAAGATAATCACTTACTAATCACAAAAAGTGTCTAATTTAATTTTCCACTGGCCACGCCTTTTTCACAAACCCCGCCCCAATATCAACGGCCACGCCTCCTTCTGCTTTCATCAAACAATGTTGCCCTAATCTTAGCTTTCATTGACTCCTCATCCGTTCTTTACGCATCCTAGACAAATAAAATTGCAGCTGGCCTTTCGAAACTATACATGAAACCGCTAGTGCGGAATTCACAATTTCACCAGAGAGAGATGTATTTTGCTTGCTCTAAAGAAAAGCTGTGATGAGGAGAAGCAAGTGAATGAGAAGAAGCGGTGTTCGCGGAGGGAAAGGGACGAGGCTGGGGTGGGAGGGGATAGAGTAAGAGACCTGGAAGTTCAGGTTGCAGTAGTGAGAGGCGGCTTTGACCGGTCATTCACTTGGCAGTTCGTTGTAAAAAGCTATAGCGCTACTTCTAACGCTGTATAGGACTTGCATACCTCTATATACGTATACGTATAAAATATACGGAATACTATTCTTCCTCCTGGTTGCATTCTCGTTAGGTTAAATTCGTAAGACATCTAAAAGAATTACGCCTCCCGCTCGTTTTTCTTCCTTCACATGTTAACCTATATATATATACCTATTGTTTCATTGTCCCGCATAATTGATATAAAGAAAAAGTAGCATTTTCGATCTCCCTGAATTTTTGAAATTTCAAGGAAAATATGAGATTTAGTCTATTTACAGGGTCCGTGTGTTTTAGAGAGAGAGAGAGAGAGAGAGAGATTGGGGAGGGAGCCTATGCCATTGGACACAAACCAATTTTATGAACTTCATACTTATCTCAAGGGTTGACTGTAGTGTTAATGAGTAACTAAAAAAAAGTAATGTTAATTATCTCATAATTTTCAAGAGTTTGATTATACATATGATATACATACATGATAAAGGAGCCATTTGGGATTTTAATTCTTTGCGGTGGAAATTCGGGATATTCCCGGTAGAGGGTACTCATGTTAGAAAGTATAACGTCCGCAAAGAGTTAATAAATTGTGCATTAAGGAAATAATGTTTTGATAAAGAGGATTCCTGAACTACGCTTACGTTGGTCCAAGAATTCAGTGTGGGGGACAACTGCTTGGCACGCGTGGTATGGTAGTAGTCCCCCGAGCGCCTCGAGGGGCACTCGCAAAATTTCGGCGTTAGTTCAAACGGATAATTTAATCCCTTAGCGTACTCGTATTTGGATATTTAAAAGCGCGTTTCAATCGTTGAAATCTCAGCTACAACGTGGATAAAAATAAAACTTCTATTTCATCGCTTTCCTAATGAAAAATGGCGGGGAAGCTTCGGGTGCGCTTGCGAAATCTCGAGATCTCCGTCACGGGAACATCAAAATGAAACTTCTATTTCATCGCTTTCCTAATGAAAAATGGCGGGGAAGCTTCGGGTGCGCTTGCGAAATCTCGAGATCTCCGTCACGGGAACATCTCCGAGAACAATAATTTTCTGAGAATATGCAGTATCATTAAAGATGATATCACACAGAAACTGGACCAGATTGGCCGGCGCGTTCGGAAGTTATGGCCATTTAAGTGTTTTCACTTCAAGGGGGTGTAACTCCCCCTAGAGTGATCCTACAGGGGTTCAATGGGGGTGTTTTTTTAATGCCGAAGGATGCTCTCTCTCGTGCCCTAATTAGAAATATGAATTTCCTTCCGGAACTACTAGATCTCGAATTTTTCAAAAAGTTCCAAAATCCACTTTTTCACTCCAACCCCTGCCATTCGGCCATTTTGTATCCGATCGGGATAAAACCTTTGCCATTCGAACGGGAAGGAAATTTCCTAAGAAATATGTCTTTGGTTTTTCGAAATCTGTCATACTTTCACAGAAATGTAAAAAAATTCGAGTGTTGCACTTCAATTGGACGTTACTGTCTATGTGTATGTAAAATATATAATATTACATTTATATATTTAGAAATACGAAATACGTATATTCTCCGTGTATGTAACATATACAATACATATATTCGACGTATATGTTTAAATATATGAAAAGCGACAAAATCAATATATTTGTCGTATACCTAAGAATATGGGTTAGAAATCAATTTGTTATATATTTTCGTGTATAATCACTTCCGTTTATATATAGGGTGTACGGTATGAAACGCACGGGAGTAGTACCGTTGCATTCCTTGTTAAATTCTAAGGGATACGTGTTTTCGCGTTTTTTATTTAACATATTAAAATTTTGAGGTAATCAGCGTCGAAGTTGCAATAATCTGACCAATCAAAACGCGCTTAGATGCAGCGTGGAAGGGGAAGTTCAGCCTAGTACCTGACGATGAGCGGAAGAGCCCGCAAGGCCTCCAAGGTTACACGAGGCCAATAATAACATGAATATCGTAGTGCAAATATTTAACAGCAAGTATTTCATAATACTTACGAACTTGTAATAAATAACGACGTTCAAAATGAACACCATTTACATTTAAACATTCTGCTGCACGATTGAGCAATCTTACTCGAACATTCACGAGCATCCATCCTTCATTGACTGTTGCGAAGCTCGCCGACAGGCGGCGCCACTGATGGCCAGTTTCTTCATCTTCGGTTATCCCCACCTCACCAATAATTTTCATACTTTAGCCGTTTATCTGCAGGTTACATTTTAACTGAAGCTGAAGAAACTGCCCGTAAATGTTCTCTATGTTCTTATTTGCGTCGGTAAATGAGTTCCTGAAGTACCATTGTCAGTGTAATATAGTATAATGAAATATTTACTATATCCAAATAACTCTCATAGCAGGCACTGTGTGCAATTCTTACGGATTGGTATGTCGAGATCGGAGCTCGGACACGTGTATAGCACAATCGGTAGTTTTCAGGACCACCAAAAATGAATTACGTTGGTACAACTACCTTATCGGATCAATGATATAAATATTACGACGAATAATATCTCCTGATTAAAGGTACATTCCAAAATTCACTGCCAATACTTAAAGTACGGTTGTGTCTCGTTCAATTACATGCAGAGAGAAATAGGGACTTTACGATATTCGTATTACAATTGGCCTCGTGTGACGATGCCTTGCGGACTTCCTCGCGTCGTCAGCGATTAGGCCGAATTTACCCCCCTTCTACGTTCCATCTAATCCCGTTCACATTGGCCAGTTTATTGTAACTTTAACGCTGATTATCTCGAAATTTTAATATATGAAAAAACAAAGGCACGTATTCTTTAGAGTTTGATAAGAATGGAACAGTACTACCCCACTGCGTTTCATACCGAACACCCTGTATATGTATATGTACGTACTCAAAGTATCAACTTATAGATGACGCGATATCCAATGACATTTCCATTGACAAGCGGATCGGCTATCCATTTCCGCTTAATGCACCCTCAAAGGCGTCTCTAAAGCCAATGTTGGAGGGG